GTAGGTAGTGTAGTTTTATAGTTAAATTCTATTTCTAAGACATTAGCATTTTAATGTAAATGTCAGTTTTTAAGATAATGAAACAAAAGATATAGAATTTGCTTGTATTCTTTATGCATGCTTTATTGGGTTTTTGAGTATCCTAACTCATTAGTAAAGGAGAATGGAGGCACACTGGCATGTCATATCTTCAGCTATTATTCAAACCGAATTGAATTCTGATTAATAAAATTATTAGCATAAGTTACAGATTTTTACTTTTCTAGAAACTGCTTTTACTGAATAACCTTGATCTCAACTCATCCTATAAAAATGGCATTTTACTAAACCAACTACTTCCTCTGTCACATTTTGGGCATAATAGCTGCAAATGTCTAAAATTTAAGGAAGCACTGTAATTTAGAATAATTCTGGGCCAGAAGTGATATTTGTAGAGGATCTAGAGGCATGAAAATCACATAAGCCAAAGGAGCCATTTAATCGTGGTTTGGATGTTATTTTTCTGACACTTATCAGTGAAACTGTCATGGATCCCTGGAATTGGGGCTATTAGAATTATTTATTTTGATGTCACCCTTTTTCACATAATTGTGTTTGATATTTTAACAGAAATTATTTATGTTCACATGCATGTGGGTATTGATTATCTATACCTGCACATCACATTACTTGTCCATGAATTACTTCTGATCCTTTTTTACAACCTGATTTGCATACTCATATTATCATGTAGGTATTTGCAAGTTCTTGTGTGTGTGTGTTTTTTTTTTTCCTGCTCTCATTCTTACTTGACTGAGAATATCAAGGATGTCCCCAAATGCTCATTTGAAGGTTGATTTAGTCACACTAGCAGAACCCCAGGCTCAAATGTCAGATTGGATCAGTTCTGCCCGGTGCACTAATCGTGCTGCCATCTTCCTGCTGCAGAAGGTACAGGGGCATGTTACTCATCACGGCAGAATGTAAATGTTTAGCGATTATACAATATGTTTTTGTTAACTCCCCAGATGGGGGATTTTTTTTTTACCTTTGTTTGTTTATTTGAGAACAAGAGCTGAATGCTGAAATGCAGTGGCTGATGCCAGCAATCCAAGGCTTCATTAGCACAGATGAAGCGAAGCTCATTTGTTACACAAATAATTAGAGAGATTAAATGAAAATAAACACTTAGAGGATGTACAGAAGCTCTGAAGTTAGGTAATCATTTTAATTACTCTAGTGACTTCTACCAACCTTCATTACCAGCCACAGATCAAGTTCCAATTGTTGTATGTAAGACTACCATAAGCCACAGGGGAAAGTACAAGAGCTGCCCAATGATTATGCTTCACAAAAATGACATTTCTTCAACCTTCCATTTAAAGGAGATGTTTCCATTCCCGTACCTGATAAACTCTCTAAATATTTAAAGAGTGATAAAATTTTGCACTTAAAAGGGGTTTACCCTCATTTTATGCTTCAAATGGACATTCTTAATAAATTTTGTATTTTCTCTATCTTTACTGAGATTTGATCAGAAAAGATGTGGGCCCACATTTTTGAGACACTGACTGTAAAACATTATGGCATATTCAGTAGTTTGAAGTAAATGCTACTCAGAATCATGTCATCCTTATTTCGTGACAGTCTGCACCCTGTCTTTGGGATAAATTGATTTCTCTTTCTTCCCTTCCCTACCCCAACTTGGAAAACACACACAATGTCTTGCTGACAGGTGGGGGCTCTATTTCAACGTATTTAATTTTACATTCCTGGGTGGTGGTGATCCTGCAAAATCTCCTGAGTTGCAACCTTCAGAGGTTGTGCTACCTGTATTCAAATGCCATTTATTGCCTGCCTTCACAATACCAACTCCTCTGCAAAATGCTTTACCTCACTTACCCTACTTAGACCTTACAAGATGCCCATGAAGTATGTGTTATTGACTCCATACTCCAGGTGAGAAACTAAGGCTTTGAGAGGCTCACTGACTTTCCAAAGTTGCCTAAAGCAGCCCAGCTGGAAACGAAATCCAGGTCTGCCTGACTGCAAAACCGTGATGCCCCTAGAGATGGTGGGATGAGGAAAACTTGGATGCAAATGCTGACGAAGGACAGTAGAGAAGATGAAGTGACCTCCGGGATGTGGATGTGCTAGTTATGTGCTGTGTTGCATGACATCTGTGAATTGACACCAGATGAAATCTCGAATTCCAAATGTGATTAATTTTGAAAGTGTCTCATCTCTGAATAGCCCTGGATGCTTCTTTACCACAAAGAGGAAGCAATTAGGAAATGGGTTTTATGGTGTAGTGGGAATAACCAAGAGTTCCATACTAATAAGATTAGTGACACTTTTTAATGTAATTCAGTAACCACTTGAGTTTACTCCAGCTAATGCACTCGGCATTTCTTTTCAACTGCATTAACATTTCCGACAGGATGAATGAGACTTGGGCATTCTTTATAGGGTCGGTGGGGGGGGGGTGTTATTTGCTGCTTTCTAGTATTTAAGGAAAACCTTGCCCTGGCCAGTTTTGCTCAGTGCTTAGAGCATTGGCCTGTGCACAGTGGGGTCGTGGGTTTGATTTCTGGTCAAGGATTTGTACCTGAACGCAGATCCAATCCCCAGCCCCATTGGGGCATGAGGCAACCAATTAATGTTTCCCTCTATCTCCACCCTCCTCCCTCTCTAAAAATTAATGGAAAAAATACCCTCAGGTGAGGATTAACAAAAAAAGAAAGCCTTTACTAAATTGTCTTCCCTTCCTCCTTTCTCAAGATGCCGACATTGATTTCTGCAGGTGCATCCCGGGCCTGGGGGTTGTGTTTTGCATACTCACAACTGTAAACCCAGTTCGACTCACGTGGGTTCCCAGGCCCATTTGGCTAGCCCAGAATAGGTGAGGAGATGAGGATGCATTAATCTGCCGAGTTTAACACATGAGCTGTGGGTGATACAGGGAGGTGGGGTCAAAAGGCATGCCCTTGTGGGGTGAGGGGACAGGGTGGTTGTTCAATCTGTACTTTTCACTCTCAGGTTTCAGACTCAGAGGGGGAAGTCAGGGAAATTCACTGAGGCGCCAAGGCCTGATGACAGGCAGGAGCAGCGAGGGTAGGCCCAAGACACGTGGAGGGGCATCTGCTCTCACTCAGAACGAGCAACCTGGGGAATTTATCGATGAGCAAGACAGAAGGCAGACAACAGTGGAAAGATGGGCTCAGAAAGTATCACAGAGGGAGAGTGGCTTTCTGGCAGCTTTGAAAGCCTTTCCCTGGAACGTGACTCAAAAGTGTGGTCCCTCTTCTTTCTTGTCGGTGCATGACAGACCACCAGGGATGGGTTAATGGGACCACAAAATAGGAAAAGTCCACAGGAAGCGCCAATTGGTCACTGTCGCAGGTCTACGCGTCACCGCTGGGTTTTGGTTGCACTGTTGACAGACAGGAGGGCCGGCCCCTCTGGGTCCGCTATGTGGGGTGTGATCTCTGCAGGCCGCGCAAGGGGAAGCCACCGACCAGACCCCAGGACACACATTCCGTTTTCACTGGGCTACTGGCCACCGGCCTCGGAGAAATCTCTTTAAACACTGGGCCTCAGCTTCCTCCCACTCCACCTCCCTCCCCCCAAAAAAAAATTAAAAATAAGTGGAGGTGATTCTACTTCCCAGGCCTCCTTGAAAGGATCGTTGGGAGATTCAAATTGGAATAAACCCGATGGCAACGAACTGCAAGTAACTGTGACTCCAAATTACAGAAGAACACAAGTGAAACGCATTCAGGTGGAGTTTCAGGAATTTCCCTCCAGTGATCTAACCGCAGCCAGGCAGCAGCCGCTGGGATTGATTCCTTCTCAGCCGCTATCTCTCAGCCAAACACCTGTGAGCCCTCCCCCCCCAACTCCCTCCCCACTCCCCAAACTGGGTCTCCCGGGGCTTCCATCGATTTCTGCCTTCCAGTGAAAGCGCTTTTTGTTGCCGTGGCTCGCACCCCCTTCCCCCCAGCCCCGCAGCCCCGCAGCTGGGAGCCAGAGAAGAATCCCTTGCCCTCTCCCGCCTCTCCTCTCACTGCACACCTCAGCTCTCCCGAGTTTCCTGCACGTGGAGGGGCTCCTGGCGGGTCTCCAAAGACCTTGCAGTGTTTCGGAAAGCTGGGCGCGCGCGGAGACGGGCGCAGGAGCATCTGCCCCCACTCCCGGAGGCCGTGCGCCCCTCGGGGACCCCCTCCTGCGCCTCCCCGGGCGGTGAGGAGCCGCCCCCGGAGCCAGCTCTCGGGTCGGGCCGGAGCCCCCTCCCCGCCGCCCTCCCGCGGCCCCGTCCGCCAGCAGCAGCGCCGCTGCCTTCTTCCCTCCGGAGGGCTGGGAGGGCGCCGAGCGAGTCCGCAGCGCCCCCGCCCCTCGCTGTTTCTCTCTTTCTTCCCTCCGTTTGGGATCTCGCTGCCGGAGCCGGAGAGGTTCTGGGAAGAGCAGAGGAGCGCCAGGGACGGAGTCAGGCTCCCGCTGCAGCCAACGCGCGCGGAGCTGGGGACCCGCACCTCCCGCGCCCCCGCCCGGTCCCCGCCGCCCGGCTCGGAGGTGAAGACCCGGAGCCCCTCGAAGGAGCCCACGGCGGGAGCCCCTTTGCCCGCGGCGCCGCAGGATCGGAGCGGCGACCCAGGCGCCGGCTCTGGCGCCGGTGCCCGGGGAGAGCGCGGTGGGCATCGCTCGGCACCGCTCCGGGCTGGCAGCGCGGCCGCACCGAGTCCGCTTCCCGCCGGCTCCCCGCGTGCGGGCAGCACCTGCGCGCCCTGCGCTCCTCCGAGCCCTGCCTCCGCGGCACCTGCGCCGAACCCCACGCCAGGTGGTGACAGCCCGGCTCCCGGCTCCCGGCTCCCGGCCCCCGGCCCCCGGCCCCGCAGCGCCCGGACCCGATGGGGAGCGCGCGGGCCGCGGCTTCCTGAGCGCGGGCGCCGCCGCGGCCGTCCAAACCGCGCGCCGGGGCTCCTCGTAGGGGCACCCGAGACGCCGGGGAAGCGCGCAGCACCATGAAGTCCGTGCTGTTCAGCCGATTCTTCCTCCTCCTGCCCTGGATCCTCATCGTCATCCTCATGCTCGACGTGGACACCCGCAGGCCGGCGCCCCCGCTCACCCCGCGGCCCTACTTTTCCCCCTACGCCGTGGGCCGCGGGGCCGCCCGACCCCCGCTCCGCAGGGGCGGCCCCGGGCGCGGCGCGGAGAGGCGCAACGAGTCTCGGCCGCAGCCGCAGCCGCAGCCGCCGCCGGAGCCGCCGCTGCCCACCATCTATGCCATCACGCCCACCTACAGCCGCCCGGTGCAGAAGGCCGAGCTCACCCGCCTGGCCAACACGCTCCGCCAGGTGGCGCGGCTGCACTGGATCCTGGTGGAGGACGCGGCGGCGCGCAGCGAGCTGGTGAGCCGCTTCGTGGCGCGGGCCGGCCTGCCCTGCACGCACCTGCACGCGCCCACGCCGCGGCGCTACAAGCGGCCCGGCCTGCCGCGCGCCACCGAGCAGCGCAACGCCGGCCTGGCCTGGCTGCGCCAGCGGCACCGGCACCAGCGCGCGCAGCCCGGCGTGCTCTTCTTCGCCGACGACGACAACACCTACAGCCTGGAGCTCTTCCAGGAGGTAGCGGCCGGCCCGCCCCTGGGGAGGGGGGGGGGGGGGAAGAAGGGGGACCAGGGCGGGAGGGGGCGTCGGGGTCGCCTGCCCCTGGGAGCTGTCACTTCTCGGTGCACTTTTGGGGCTCCCGCGGCAGCGCTGCTCGCGGGCAGCCCACGGCCTCTGCCGGTCCTGGCGTGTTTCGCAGGTCAAGGGGGTGGGGTTTGGGGGTCAGGGGGTGAGGACCACCGGGATTCAAGGAGGGGAGTCCGGTTTAGCTGTCTGCCTGGCCCCGAGATTGGGTTGAGGGAGTAACGCAGTTGTGGGACGCGGGGATGATCGCCAGGAACAGGCCCGGGTGTCCCCAGGTGGAGAGGGAGGACGGAGCCCGTGGAGAGGGAGGACGGTTCCCGGTGGAGAGGGAGGACGGAGCCCGGTGGAGAGGGAGGACGGAGCCCGGTGGAGAGATGGGTGGGTACACGATGCCACCGGAGCGGGGTAGGGAGAGGGCCCTGCGCAGTGCGGGGCGGCTTGGTGTACTCCCAGGGCCTTTCCGCGGCACAGGTGTGACTGGGATTCTAGAACCATATGGAGAGGAAGGTGGTGTTAAAAATCAGCCAAGAGCCAGATTTCTCTGGCACGGAAATGATTATTAGTGAAAACATTGCCTGCTAAGGGGGTCCTCCCTCCATATCTTCCCCCCAACTCACCCCAACAAGGCCCTTTCCGACTCAGCACTCTGCCCCCCCCCCCCCAAGGAAACTCTGGCAAATGACTTGAGACTGTTGTGCCTTGTGGAAAAGGCTGTTCTGTCTTTTCGCAGCCAGAGCTACCAACTGCACTTCCAGTTCCCCTTCTCTCTCTCTCTCTCTCTCTCTCTCTCTCTCTCTCTCTCTCTCTCTCTCTCTCTCTCTCTCTCTCTCTCGGTGCCATTGCATCCTGGGGCTTGCTGGAGGTTCTCAGTGCATCCCTTGAAAGGCCACACGTGCGCCCAACCAGCAGCGTGCGCTGGGCTAGAGCAGGTGTTACTTCTTGAGGCCGGTATTTTGCAGCGTGCGTGTGTGTGTGTGTGTGTGTGTGTGTTCTGCAATAAGACTGCCTTCCAAGGTTTTGTCAGTTCCTTTTTCACCAACAAACACAGCTGGAAAGTGTCTTGGATGCTTGGACATCCTGTGGGACCATTGCCTTTCTCTACCCCACATTCCTTGACAGCCTGCCTCTCAGACTCCATCGCCCCCTCCTCACCCAGGCACACTGGGCTGTGTGTCTGGTAAATCAGACATGCCCCACACTTCCATTCTAGTATCTATGTAGTGCTCTTAACCTCAGGCCAAAGCTACTTGCCCACCTTGAGGTTAATTTTTCTGCCTATGTGATTTGAAAAAATCCATTTCTTAAGAGCAATTGCCATCTTCATTTCTATTCATCCTCTCTTTCTTCGTGAATAAAAGGACCGGTAATTGCTTTCCGTCTTTTCTTCTCCATCCTTTCAGGAGGTAGAGCTTTCTGTCCATGTTTCTACGGAAGAAATAAATGTGTGGGACAGTCTTTATAACCAAGACTACAGATATCATCTGATTTTTTTAATTGGGCTTTTATTTTTATTCTGCTTGCATACTCCCTCCCACAAAAGACAGGATGTGTATTCTGAAACATGGGCCTTTTGCATGCCAGTAAACCCACTCTTCTCCTTCCCCTGGAAGTTGCCTTACCTGTGACATTGTGTGGTCTTGTGTGTGCAAAGGAATGCACATCATTGTTAATCACCCCGTTAGGGGGCAGGGCCGTGACGGGGGGATAATTTTCCGTTTATTCCCAGGTGCTGGCCTGTCGCGCGCGCGTGTGTGCGCGCTCATGTGTGCGTGTGTGTGTGTGTGTATGCGCGCTCGCGCGTGTGTGTGTGCGCGCATGTGTGCGTGTGTGTGTGTGTATGTGGTGTCAGATGAGGGCGAGAGTGGGCAACGCAGGCGGAGAGACACTCAGGACAGTCTTCCTTTGCTGCTTCCCAAACCGAAAGGAAGGCTTTATTGGCGGTGGCTACTAAGCAGCAAGAGAAGAATACAGGCGCTTTTTTCCCAAGTGGTCCATGGAGGGGAAGTGGGGGAGAAAGAGAGACAACAGAAGGAAGGAGAGGAGAAAAAAAAATAGCATTTGGCCAGAGGAAACTATAAAGGAAAAAAGCAAAACTTTCTGAAGTGATGAGAGTAAAATTAAGAGCATGTGCAGCTCATTTTTGTGGAGAGGTGCCAAGTACACAAAAATACACAACAGAAGCAGTTTGTTTTTTGTTTAAATGCAATATGCATGACACACAGAATTTTCTTCTATTTTTTAATCTTTATTGTTGAAAGTATTACTATATGTCCCGTTCCCCCCCCCCATTAACCCCTTCTAGCCTGCCCCTCCCCCAGCCCCAGGCCTTTCCCACCCTAGACACACATAGAATTTAAATTCCATAGAGGCCCCTCCAACCCAGAAATTTTATGACTAGTCCCTTTGTCCACCACCATCCCTCCTCCCTCCCACGTGATGCATGTGGACAGAATAGGCATCTGTTCGCCATGCATCTATGCCAATACGTTCAGTTTTTTCTTACAACACATTATTGTCCTCACATGGCAAGCAGTATTGACTCTCTAAAAAGTCAGATTGCTGGAATTTGTGCATCCTTAGTTTTGTGAATTAATGGGATGGCCTACCTTAAAGCAGTTCTAGGATGGATTCCATGTGGATTACAGTGTAGACGTGGCTCTCGGGGGAAAAGGATAGGACCAGATAAAACAGCTGGACACTGAAGTGCCCAGGGGGGGGAGGGAACATGCTGACCAGGGATGCTGCAGGGCAGAGGTCTGTATCTCAGCGCAGTGTATGTGCACACACGCAAATCAGCTTTTAAGTAATTCACAGTGCTTAAAGGAAAGAATGTCCCGAGTCAGGCTTCATCTTTTATTCATGGCACTTCTAATTTCCATGGTTGATGTAAACGCAGATAAGATAGAAGGAAGAAAATGAACCAGGTACAAATTAGCTCACTAAGCATTGGCTGAAAATGAAGGAAAGTAAAAGATGAAAGGTCTCCAAATTAAATTAAAGGCGCAACAGGCAATCCGTGTTCAATTATTTCTCCGCAGTAACTGGCATGGTGCTTGCCTCTCCCATACAGCTAACTCATTTTCAGCCTACCCTTTCAGCTGAGCTGTGCCGCCTGGAAAGAAATATTTGCACTGAAGGAATCCTACATTAACAGCCAAATCCATTTGCAAAGGAAAACTAGTGGGAGTTGCAGCCACAGAAACTCTGCTGGCCATTGGAGAGAACAGTGGTCAGGGTGTGTGTGTGTGTGTGTGTGTGTGTGTGTGTGTGTGTGTGTGTGTTTCAGGTTCCCAGTATCTCTACAAGGACTGCTCTTCCTGTGGCATTGATGGGGTTTTGAATTCTGGACCACAGGTAGTCCACCTGCCTGTGCCCCCTATGATGGAGCTCTCCGGGAAAGCTTATTTGCAAAGGATTTAAACTGCTTTAACAAAAGCAACTACTGCAGATAAATATGACTCTATATCCAGTCGTATTTTCAATAAACTATTAATCAGATTTCTGTTCCTTACTGGAAATCCTCCCAAGTTTTTCTGAGTTTAAAGCTGATGCTTTGCAGGTGAAATTGCTTTCGCCTTTGCAAGTCCTTTAAATGGAAAGGTTAAAAAATAGCACTTTTGCCAAAAACTGTTTGGCTCAGTGGATAGAGCATCAGCCTGCAGACTGAAAGGTCCCAGGTTCGATTCTGGTCAAGGGCATGTACCTTAGTTGCGGGCACATCCCCAGTGGGGGGTGTACAGGAGGCAGCTGATCAATGTTTCTCTCTCATCGATATTTCTAACTCTTTATCCCTCTCCCTTCCTCTCTGTAAAAAAAAATAAATAAAATATATATTTTTTTAAATAGCACTTTCCAAGCAGGAACAAAAACTTTAAAATTTTTTTAACTTTAAAATAATGAGGAAAGACTGGAGGACAGGCCAACTCTGGACATTTAAGGACCTCATGAAAGGATCCGGTTAATGAGGCTGCATCTTGAAGATGCTCTGACAGGCAGTGAGCTGAGCAGGCCCTTTGTTGGGTGCTGTTATTTGTGTGCTGGGAAGGTGGAGGAGCTGAGGCTTAATTCTGTCTTGCTCCTTTTCTGAAACATTTATAAACTCCCCCCCTCCCCCATTCACACACACACACACACACACACACACACACACACACCTTTTACAGGCTATAATACAAAGAATGTTGAAATTCACAATTTTAACCGCCCCACCCTCCACCCCCAATACTAAATTCTGTATGTTTCCTGCAAGGAGACAAAAGATCTGCCATTCTTTTTACCCTGATACTTAGTTTGGGTAATTATCTTTTCAAAGTGAAGAAGCCCAGAAGATTCCATTATTTTATCTGAAATGTGTTCCTTGTGTTTTATTCCTCCCTATCTAAACGTATATTAACAGTCATGCCACAGGTCTGGTAAAATATGAGAATTTTGGGAAAATATGGTCATAAAACTACAGCCAATTTTCTGAGGCTATTGCTGTTAAGTCTATAGATTTTTTTCTTTAGTCTCCCTGTGGATAGGACTTGAGTTATGGCTAGTCTTTGACGTGGTTCTTTGGAGACCAGCAGTTTTCATTTGTATTTTGATAATTTAATGGACCAGAAATAATAATTCAGCTTTAAAAGCCATTCTCTCTTGCCTCTTCCAATTGTCTTTTTCCATCATTCACCCCCTTACTTTTCACTGACTATTCTTTCTCGTGAATAGACATGAAGATGTGTCTGGATTATTGTTTGGTACAATGAATTCGTGTCTTTTAAAACTTTTAGGCTGTTGTCTGGTTCTTTTTGGAAACTATGTGGGTGACTCCATTTTCTTCTGCATATTCCACTTGCCTCTAAATTACAAGCGGGTAATTTCTCTCTTGTGTGAACAGTAATGGAATAGTAATTGCTTTTAAGGCATGCTACAAAAGCAAAATAGGAGAACCAAAG